TCTATCTGCAGAGGATCAAAAAATCACGAGCGCTGAAATCTGGAGGGCTCGCTGTCAATAATTGGATGGCCACCAGGCTCTTAATCTTTGCGCTTCACGTCCCTTTAGTCTTGTACTTGGAGAACAGGCAGTACAAAATTAACAGTGTGGATTTCACATCTTGGTTCACCACATCTGCAATGGGACAAGACAGAGCAAAGTAAAACGGCTACATTATACTTGACCTGAAAGAGATGGTTAGTTTAACACATTTAATTGCTGCTACCTCTCTGAACGGAAAGGGGAAAGCAAACTAATTATTCGAAACCTATCGGTAGCAGGACCAAAATCTATGGAATTACAAAGAGAAAGTGAAAACAAATATGGGGATCTGCCTCTCTCTCTCTGACTCCCAACCAACCAAGGGTTCGCCAAGATGAAGCCGTCCAGATGTTCCTGAACTCCAGTTCCAAGAGTCCTTCAATGTTGCCCATGCCCCGGGAGATGAAGCATAGCAACATCTGGACACTCGTGTTTTGCTTACCTCTTCAGTAACTACCATCTCATTAAAATGTAATTCTCATTGTTCATTTCAAGAAACAATAACTTTGTAAAATCTCTGTACCTTTTATTTGTAATGTAGTTTTAACCTATCTATTCAAAAATTACTCCTGTTCAGCTAATTGGGGCCTTTGGCAAGGGAAGAGAATGTAAAATTACATCCTTAATAATAATTGCAATAAATGTCAGGTAGGACGAACCGCCTACAAATTATGGCTCTCTTACAAGGACAGACCTTCAGGGTTGATGGGAACTTCCAGAAGATCTCCATCCATCAGCAGGTCTATTGCCAGGCTGACATTGTGTATCTAAGAAAGTTAACAAGAGAAAAGCTAGTCCCACTTCTGGAGAAAAAATCCTTCAGGAGTCTAGAAAGTGATTAAATAAAGAATCAGGTGACAAATCATCTATTCAAACGTTTTGACAGTGGTAAAGCACATATTATCCAGAGAATTATGGTACTAAAAAGAAACAAAGATATGTAACTATTGGAATCTTGCCTCACTTAGCAAATAGCCATACTCAGAACCGAGTGTTTGACCATAATCACATCCTAATTGTACCATCCAACCTGCATGGCAATTTCATGCTCCCAAGATCTGCTAAAGTCCCACTACCCTATGGGAGTATTGTTCTCCCTTAATGAATAGTAACAACACGGGAGAGATTTTTTTTGCACACTCCACCGTTTGCTAACTAAAAGTCAAAACACCATGAATAACTTACCATTTCTGAAGTAGAACTTGGGTTCAGGAAAAAGTTTCCCAAATTTAGGAAATAACCCTGAAGTTCCCCAATTAGCAAGAGTAAAATAACCCCATCTGCAAACTGGGAGGAAAGAATGAAATGAACAGTGATGTTAATCAAATATATGACTGAGTGTAGCTTCTTGATCTGAATTTGAATCTTGTTAACCTCAAGATTTTCTTGACCTGACTGCTTGAAACAGAAGAGGTGCTAATCACTCCAGTGAAGCTTTTATGTTTGCCAGCACAAAATGGAGTAAACTATATGCCAAGAATCCTCAACCTTTTTGGACTTGGAGACACATTTGATGACATTGGATCTCCCTCTTCCCTGGGACATCCCTCCAAAGATTGGGAGACTGCTATCATGTACCCCCTCAGCCGTCTCTTCTCTAGGTTAAATAATACCCACTTCTTTCCAGGATTTCACCTCCAAGCCCCCCACCCTTTGTTGCTCTTTCTTGTACCCTTTCTAATTCCTCAGCACCCTTCTTGAATTGTGGCAGCCAGAACTGGACATAGTATTCCAGGTGTGGTCTGACCAGTGCAGCAGAGAACAGAACTATCGCTTTCCACAATCGTGACATTATATCTCTGTCGATATAGCCCAAGATGACATTGGGTCTTCTGGCAAAAGGCACCCAGATCCTTCTCACAAATGTCACTGCTGCACCAGGGATCACCTGTCTTCCACCTGTGCTTCTAGTTTTTCCTACTAAGTGCAGAACCTTTCTCACCATTAATTGCACTCTCTTAGACACAGCCCAATATTCAAGTCTATCAAGATCCTTTTGAACCTTTAGCCTGTCTTCTGAGATGTTAGCAAAGCTGCAGTTAATTCTGATTCTGATCAGTATGAATGTGTAATATATTTTATTCCGATACTGCATGTTTATCTGTTTCACTCTTATGCATAGATGTATTGATGTGCTTCATAAAAGCGTCCAGTTGGACAATGTGGAAAGCAGTCTTTCACTGATCCAGCAGCTTCCTCTATTATTTTGGAGACCTTCATGTGTACAACCATCACTGAGCAATTCCTTCACATAACACTAGGACAGGCAGGTGGCCATCATATAAGTACTGTCCATTAAAAATAAGAACATCAGACAGAACATTTCTCATATGTTTGTTCATGTGGTAGCAATCTTTTTAATGAGGTGCTCTATACCTGCTCTTTGTAAGTCTACTGATGTATCCCATAATTAAAAAGAACATAATCTTAAACTGTTTCATAGAAATGCCGTGAGGGTGAAGGCTATAAAATCTGGAAATCAAGGCGTAATTTTTTTACCTGTGAGTCAACATCTTCTACATTTAGTCCTAATCCTCCCACATGCTTGTTGACAAACTTCAAAAACACCTAAAGGAACAGAAAGCAACTTGGAATCATAGAGCTTCCCAGTTATTTAGGACATGCTCATATGCCCCAAATATGTTGGAAAAAAAATAAATTGCTTTACCTCTTTCACAGCATCCAATTTCCTGGGAGCATGATTTAATAATTCATCAAAGATTTCAGCACTTACTAGAACAAAGAGATAAATATTAGTGGAGGTCATGAGTGTCCATGAGAAGACAAGGGACGAATGGCATCATATTTGTCATAACATTATTGTCCAAATGACATATTTGCATCACTTGTGTGATAAATATATGATGTGTGTGATGTCATCAGGATTTGTACCAGATGCCTACAGTTTCACCCCTGATCTACACAATATGGAGAATACGTTTACATGATGGGTTATAATGATCAGCATTCCTTCCTTCTCCCTGTTAGCTGCAATCTCTGCTTGTTTGTTTGGCTTTTCTGTACTATAAGTAGCTGGGATCCTCGAGACAAAGATCTACATTCTGGGGTAATTTATTCTACAAAGCAATAGTGTTCTGTACAAATAAATGTCACCATTATAGTTACTGCAACATTTAAGAAAATAGCTGGCGAAAGTACTCAATTAAAACACAAAGATTGATTTTCATGTAGGACCATCCCTTGAAGAATGCTGTTGCCATCACCCAATTTGAAGACTTGTACAGGGTCAGTGGGGGACCAGCTCTTTCTCTGAAGGAAGCCAACTATTCAAGGGACAAAGCTATCACTCCAGGAAGGCCGCCTTCTGTAACTTACTTGAAGAATTTTCTGCAGGTTCCCTAATAAGAATCAGAAAGAATGAGAAATTAGGGCACAAGGATGTCACAAATGTTGTTTAATGTCTTTCAAAACAATATTTGAGAAAACTCATTTTGGTCCATGTTGGAGAGGTCGCCATCTTTGGATTTCACCTAATTCCTGCAGTGGTCTATAGAGGAAGGTCCAGGGGCATCCTGGATGGGTTCAAAAAGGTCAAGTAGGTGGCCATAATGGTGCAATCAAAGCTCCACGCATTAAAAAAGGTGAAGCTTCAATCACACCCTTGTGGTTGGCATTTTGACCTTTTATATGCTGTTAACACTCCTGGGAAGGTCTTACTTCATCTTTTAAATGTAGGGAGTGGTGCCTAAGCAGCAATTCTTGAACATGTGCATCCCACAGGAAAGTATAAATAAGGAGATTGCTCTAGGGGAGGGTCAAAAAAGTCAAGATGACAGCTGTGACCACACAATCAAAGCCCTAATTAAGTTGGTTTGGGAACAAAGTCAGAGGTAAACCATGTACGACTAAAACCAAACTGAAATTAAAAATAGGTCCTGCTACTTTTTCACATGGCAACAGCATTTACATGCATCTTGAAAAGACCAGCAATAGTTCAAAGGACTAGAAGCAGGGGTATCTGGGGGTTTAGGAATCAAAATCTTCAAGATGGTGTCCCAGTTGAAGTCCACTCCTTTAGGGAGTGCTCAGAAGAGCGGAAGTGCCAGATTATGTACATCATGGGAAGAATTAAGAACGTAAGATGAGGACTGTTGGTTAATTCAGTGAAGAACTCATTATATCTCTGTGTACTATGTTGGGAAACTTTTAGTGGTGGTCAGAACTTGCATAGCAAGCAGCTTTCCAAAAAAGGACATGGGTATCTCTCCGGTGTGTGAGTGTTCTCAGTCTGGGTCACTGTGTGTTTGTTATGTTAATAGCACAGAGCACCCAGACGACTCCAGGAAACTGCAAAGTTTCAGAAGTGTACCCCCAACACACTATGGCAGGAGAGCTCTGCTAAATCCGTTCATTGCCAGCCAAAGTTAGATCCCTCAGTCACAGCTGGAGAAGAAATGTGCTGTTATGAACACCTGGCACAGTAGCAAAGCTTCCAGGGCTCAAGGTCAGACTCGGTCTACTTCAGAGGAACCCCATTCCAATTGGGTTCTCACCCAAACAATTCAGAATCGGTCCCATATGTCTGAGATTCAGTTAAATTCCAAGCACATCCTTAATCATTTCCTTTTCGTACTATATCATTCCCGTTTCAAGGCAAAAAAGAAGAAGTGTTTTTACCTGTCTTGGGTGATGCGTTCTATCGTGCACGCTGTCTCAGATTCACTAGACGTAGACTAGGAATCAGAAAGCAAGTTTTAGATAAAATATGGAAAATGGCAAAAGCCAAAAAAATAGACGTCAACCACTAATGGCAAACAATCAATCAATCAATCATGCGTAACAGTCACGAGCTACCCTTATGGTCTCATCTGGAATAATAAGGTTGTTTTAAGGCACATTAGTCCCCAAAGGAGAGCCAGTTGTGGTGAAGGCACCAGGCAAAAAACTGGATACTGAGTTCCAGCCCTTCCTGAGGCACGAAGCCGGCTGGGTGACCATGGCCAGCCCCTCTCTCTCAGCCCAGGAAGGAGGAGGCCAGGGCCAACCACTCCCGAAAATCTTGCCAAGAAAACTGCAGGGATTTCTCTGTGTCGTCCCCAGGAGTCAAGGATGACTCGAAGGCACCGAAAAAAATAAGTCCCCTAATTCTGGGCTCACTGCTGACCTGCAGTGTGGCGTGAGATGCACTGGCTTCAAAGAATGAAGACCCTGCAGGAATTCTCTTTTCTTCCCTGCAATTTCCCTTCATCTTTCTCAGGTGCCTTCAAGGTTGCCAGACAGAAGGAAAAAATAATACATGTATATTAGGCAAATGTCTATAGAAATTCAGCTGAAGCTGTAAAAACTGTCATTCTCTCTCTTCCCAATATTTCCTAAAGCATCGGAGATGGCTAATTTAGATTTGGGGACGGAGGAATTTTTGTTTTAATGAACTCATCAGGTCTAATGGACAAAATTTGGATCTGGACATAGCCCACTGAAATGATATTTTCTCTGGACTACTGATGCAAATTAATGTTACAAGCATTTTCTATCATTTGCATCAGTTTGGATCCCTTGCATCGGTTTACATTGCCACGAGGTACAGTGCTGTTGCAAATGATGTAAATTAAGTCACTGGTGTCTTTACACAATTAGGCAAATGACAGAAATGATGTACATTCAAATTTTATGGGCATTTATGTGTAATGGACATCCTTTCCCCCAAATGATCCATTATGTAGAGGTTTCATATTAAATCTGCAAAGCATAATATCATTTCAGTGGTGACATCGGAAAGTTAATGTACAACAGTCTAGGATATCCAGCATGCAATGGGATTTTGCATTTCATTTCGGATATATTTTAATTTTTCATATCTGATGGTGATTCTTGGCTGACATTCCTGAGTTCACATATGGCGCAACCCTAACCCTAGCCCCCTCAACATTTAATTACACTGGCTTTCATACTGAGCTTTGGAACAATATAAAAGCCAGTGTAATTAAATTAAATGCCTTGTACAGCCTTATTTTTTTAAAAAAGGGGTGGAGGGAAAAGTAGTTTTCCACAATATAACCATAAAGCAATTGAGAAGGTTAACATGAAATCACCTCCTTGGCTATCACAGCGACGTTCACATTTGGAGGTATCGCAAGCTTGGGCTGGAAATGCTGAGCGATGGCGACCAGAAGATGCAAAGTGCTTAACAGGTTTTTCTCAAAGATGGCTGAAATAAACAAGCAAGGGATGAGTTACAAGTTGAGAAGTAGGTTGAACGTCTCTAGTCACAACAGTCGATTTTGGCAGAAGGGTGCTCTTTCACAGGTTGCTAGAGCAGGGTTCCTCAACCTTGGTGACTTGAAGATGTGTAGACTTCAACTCCCAGAATTCCCCAACCAGCCATTCTGGGAGTTGAAGTCCACACATCTTCAAGTGGCCAAGGTTGAGGAACCCTGGGCTAGAGCATCACCTTGCAGCGAAGGCTGGTGTGAGGATCCTAGTGGCCTTCCAGCCCAGCATCTCTTACTCTGGAAGCAATGGAAAAGGCAAGCCACAGATTTCCTCATGCTCTCCTTAACCTTTCTGGCTCTACTGGGAAGAATGAAAATCAAATAGTCTTACAGCTCTTTCCTGTCTTGGGGAGGGATGCAGCAATTATCTTCTTTCCCTTCTCTACAGACCTTCACAGACAGAATCAGGCTGGCAGCAAACTTGGCTTCCAGTCCCCAGTTCTTCTCCATTATTCCTCAGTCCAAAGAGGTATAAAATATAACACTTTTTGGCCTGAGATAGGAATCAAGTATTTTGCCTCTCCATCATGACTATAAGGGAAAATATTACAAGTAACAGACCAACGCACCTTCATTCAAGCAGATTCTTTTTATTTTGCTTGATTGTATCATGGGAATTTTCATCTCTGTGTGTGTGTGTTTTTAATGCTGTATTTTATAGCTGATTACTTTCTGCCTACACAGCGTTTAGCCTAAACTTTGTCCACCTGAACTCAGGAGAACTAATAACGGCTCACGTAAAGCAGAGTTCAACAGACTATGGTAATTCACTAATAATAAAGTCTAGAAACAAGCAAGGGGCATTTAGACAGTACTAAAAGGTGTGCAGTAGATATGTGTAAATGTGCAAAATTCCACGGTTGGAAGCCTCCAGGTGACTCCAAAATGTTCCATTCTGTTGATCCAAGCCTTCTGGGATGGTCTGACAGTTTTCTGGATGTACGTCTTTCAAAACAGGAAATGATTTGTGTGTTTCAGACACATCTAGCCCCAAGACAGATCAGCCCCAGAATGCAGAATTTTGCGTCTTCCTAGTTTCTATACTAACTCAGCGAGAAGCACAGAATTTCACAAGAAGGAAATGACCACTATTAATTTCTAGATTGTGCAATAAAACAAACGTGGCCTCAACAGTTTTCCATCTATAAAAATAGAGCACAAAGAATAATATTTAAAAGGCTGGTGACAATTAATTTGGAAAAGTTCTCTTCATTTATAGAAATATAAAGGTGAATGAATAAGGTAAAAATACAGTAGAATGCGAAGTTTTCTGCTGGAACAGCTTGTAGGATTTTATCCCAAATCGGTGCAAATTTGGTCTTCCAGACAACCAGCCTTCCCATCCCGGATTGTCTGCAGGAAAATTTGCAAGGTGCAGGGCACAATGTTGTCAACAAAGCTCTGCCCCTCTTGCATGTATGTGCTCCAGTTGTGATGTCACACCTTGGAGACTTGGACCTTCCCTGCAGAGGCCCCCATTGCTATCTCCCAACCCTTTTTAATCTACTTTAACAGGCTAGGGTGCCTGATAAACCTTGATCCAGATTATGTTGGTTATTTTCAGAACTACTTGGGCATTGGCTGCGAGCAGTATTATAGTTGTAGGGATGTGTATCTGTGGTGCCCGCCTGTCTGTTCTGGCCAAGAGCTGGGCACCAAGAAGGGTCAGCTGAGCAGGGCTCCCTTGCTCCACCAGCTCTACGACCTTCCTCCTTGTGCAAAACAGTGAACAACAAGTTCTGTGCTTGTCAGGGCAGCACACGCCTGGGTGTTTCCTGCGGAACGATCTCCCTACAAGAAGCGGTTTGCAAACTGCTTTCTGGCATTGGGAGGTGGGGGCTGTGGCAAAGTTTCTGCACTTGGGGAAAGATGGGTTGGGGGGCATCATGCAAGCTGGAACGTGGTCTCTGAGTGAGGGAAAGATGCTAGGCCTCTGGCCGGAGTGTCTGGAGGGGGTGATCCACAAAGTCAAGACAGCAACCACAACAATACAATCAACACTCCGCCCGTTTTTTGCGCGTCTTGGCTTTTTGGACCACACTCTGCAGACACCCCTGGCCGGGTGTCTGGGAAGGCCAAGACCTGGAATGGTGATGATCTCTGAAATGCAGCTGGGCTGGAAAGCAGGCAGGGGCTGAGCGGGTCTTTCAACCAAACACAGGTTTCCCCATTTGTACAGTGTTAGGGTAAGGTTGCTAACTTTCAGATACATTATTTTTCCTATGAACTCCTACAGCAAGCAGAGAAAGAGAGAGAGAGAAAGAGGAAGGAAGGAAGGAAGGAAGGAAGGAAGGAAGGAAGGAAGGAAGGAAGGAAGGAAGGGATGGGTTTAGTACATACTGTCCACAGTCCATTTCACTTCACGTTCTTCAAGTTGTAAACACTGATTCACAGCTTTGAGAATAACTTCAAGTTTGAGTCTCTTTTTCTTCTCTGTCAGTGCAATCTTTTCTACTTCCAAACTGAGGGATCCAAGTTTCTCTGGGATTAAAAACAGTGGAGGATATAATTCTGATCTACCTCATCCATGAGACCCTGGAATGCCTCAGCCATCTACTGGTTTGCATCCAGGACACCCTCCACCTGCCCTTTGAGAAACAGTGTTTGCCGCAAAAGATACTAAGTGAATTAATACCCAAGTTCCCCATCCCCTTCATTAACGGGCAATTATTGAAATAAATGCAGAAAGAACAGTGCAGGGCTAAGCACTGAGGCAAAAAATGACTCACCCAGCAGATGATGGAGCACCAATCCATCATAGAGGTCTTCTTCTAAGTTTTTCACCACAATACGTTCATGCTTCAAAGTTGTGTTGATCCAGTTGATCAAGAACTGCGTGGAAAATTGTTGAGCAGAATAATACTGTAAGGTTTTAAAAGCTGCATTATGACGGGGGAAACATAGAAGAGGTATAGGAAAAGTCCATTCTAGTCTGATCCTAAGGACAAAATCAGGGCAAAGCACACCAGTATCTTGTATACATCTGTCTGTCTTGTTCGCCAGCCTTAGCAAGAGAAGAGGCATTTGCGGTTTTCTAGCTACCCCCATCCTGTTTCCTTCTTCCAGAGTACAATGGTCTTTGAATTATGCTGGGATGTCCATATTTGCATATTCCAATAGTGGAGAATATATGTAGCTCAGGGATGAACTGTTGAGTTCTTGGTGTTGCATATTTTCAGGGCTTTCTCCCAGTGATGCTGCTCAAGAATGCCTGAGTAGTCCTGCAAATGTTGTTTGACCAGAAAACTGAAAAAACGGGTCGACTTTGTCCTTAAATAACAAAGGCCATGCTTGTGAAGAAAGGAGAACTCTGTTAGAGGCCTTGGGGTGATCTTCCAGTTCTTGATCAATGGAGAGTCTGCAGGAGCAACTAACTTAGGGAGCAGTGGTGACCAGGGCAAGGGCAGTTGCTGAAGAATGGGTCTTAATTGGGTGAAAATGAGGGAACCATCTGAGTCTTATCACTTTAGCATCGAAAACAAGGAAGACCAACAGATCGATAAACGGGCCCTGCCTCTTCCCACCAGTTTATCTCGTTAGTCTCATACCATTGAACGTCCAGATATTTATTTCTTACAGAATGAGAAATAGAGCTTTCTTTTTGGCCTAAAGTCTCAGCAGATGCCAGCACCTCAATCTCAGAAGCTAAGCAGGGTCATCCATGGTTTGTAAATGGATGGGAGAATTCTAGGGAGCTTCCAGATTGTCTGACTGTTGACTAGACTGAGAAATTGATAAAATGTACTGAAAAGTTATGTGGACAAAGAAAACCACACGGACATGTCCATGAAGTCATCAGAAGTGAGCTACGGACTTGAACATATCTTTACCTTTATGGGCCTAAGTTGCACCATCCTGAGAGGACATCTGATTGGGAGGCTGCTAACCTGCCCAAAGTAACAAAAAGGTTCCCTAAATGCTATCTCATCAGAGTATTAGGAAGTATCATCAGACACTGCAGTTCTCTTAGCTCATATAAATCTGGAAAATAGAATTTACCCTTTGCAAAGCTTCCAGTTGAGGGTCATGTCGAGAACTTGGCTTTATGTATTTCTTCCTTTTATCTGAAGCAGAAATAAATATGAGTTACCACCAGTCATCCTAACATTTGATTGGCATATTGCCCACTTGGGCCAGAAGTCTGTTTGTTGGTATGTAATTTATATCCTACCATCATTCACAAGACTCTACGTGGCTCACATAATTCATAATCCACAGTCCATTAAAACCACTAAACAATCGAATCTTATACCAATAAAATATTAAGCTTAAAAATACAACTCGAACTTAAAACAACTAAAAAGCCCTTTAAAAGAGCAGGAGCCCAGCCAAGTCCTCAACACACAGCAGAAAAGTTCCGCCTTCCCCACCTTCCCAATTGCAAAGACAGTGGGGACCACCTGGGACTTTGGAGGGAACCCTGTACCAAGACTCCAAAAATGCCAGCAATTCCCACCTTGCTCACATCCTGACTTGGGGGAGGGAAGCACAAGTGTCCTTTCCTGGTCTGAAGGCACGTGATGGATGGATTCACTTTGGAGAAGATGGAGCTGGCAGGAAGGCCCTGACAGGCCAGAACCAGCACTCTGAATTGTGCACAGAAATATTTTGGCAGCCCGTACAGCAAAACAGGAGTTGTGCTGCTAAGGCAGCTCCCACCTGCCATGAAGTGGGCTGTTGTGTTCTGCAGCAAGTGGAGTTTCTGGCAACTCTTCAGGCAGCCCCAAGGAGAGAGCATTGCAGTAATCCAGCCTCGAGGTGATAAAGGCAGGATTGACTGCCCCTGAGTGATCCTCCTCCAAAAGTGTCTGCAACAAATGTGCCAGATGTAATGGTATGTGGGAATGACCTTGGGAGACAGGAGGGAGAGCTACAAACTGGACAACCTGTGTGTAAAGGATCTTTCAGTCTTGGAAGAGTCTATTGATGTAACCTTATAATAAAGATAGAACTAGTACTCCTGGTTGTGCTTCTTGTCTGGACTACCCTGAAGGGCTAACATTAGCTGGGCAAATGGTCCCCAGGCCACAACCCCCACCTGCTGATCAAGTAGAAATTATGGAGTCAGCTTTCCAACCTGTTCCTTCTGTGTGACTCTAACCAGAGCCATCAGAAAAGCTGACACTGAGTCAGATCATTTCTGGACAAACAGTAGCTCCATCGTGGAATCAGTTTCAGTCTGTCTGTTCCATCCAGTTCCTCCAGTCTCTAATTCAACTGAAAGTGATAATCCACACATTCAGATTCTCTACAACTGATATCCCACCACCTTCTCCAAAAATCTTCTCGAAAAAGATTCTCTAAAAAGGGGAGATTGGAGACCAGGCAGATGTTCTCTGGCAAGATTGGATGAAGAAATGGGCTCTCTACAAGGGTCACACCACAGCCTTCTTCAGGGCTCTATGTACTACTTCCTCACTCAAACAAGCCATGTAAGTACATACACAATGGTTACTTGAAGGAGCCAGGAAGGGCTTCGATTCAGCCCGCAGGGAGTCAAGATCATGTTGCAGAAAATCCTGCCACTTCTTCTGTGTCCACAAGACACAAATTAAGATGACATTGCAAGTTGTCACCCCAGTCACCTCATTGGAATCTGCTCCCACGGTGCCCCTTTCAGAGCTGATATGAGTGACTATCGGTAAAATGACCAGCAGACATGTTACGGTGGCTTGAAGGGAGGTCTTGTTTTGCCGGATACATTCTGCGAATCAATGCAGACCCTTTACTGCCCTTATCCCCAAAGTAGGAGCCCAAACCTGAGCTCCTATCTGTCTCCACCTTCTGTCTTCCACTATCACATCTCACATACGTCACTTCATCTCCTGGAGCTGCTCAAGGAGCAATCCAGATTGACAAATAGGGAAAGGCTGCCTGGGAGAACCATACCCAAAGCCCTCATCATCATGGAAATCCAGAGATCCACAAGTTACATGGCAGAACTGCCCACCAAATCCCAAGGAAAATCCCCAAGCTCCTGCAGAAAAGCAACCAGATCCATTAGGCGCCTAAGCCAGGCCATCCTAATCAGTCTCCCACTTGGCCAGATTTGCTGGTGCTGCTGAGCCACACCCTGGCTAGAAAGTGACCTGACCACATCCAAGGACTGAGGACTACGTCTTCCACCTTCGGATCTCAAACCATCTGCTCTAAAGGATAGGTATGGCCAGGCATAAGAGTAGGGCGGTTGCCATCTGGTAGAAGCCCATGGTTGCCATGGAGGCCATGAATTCTTGATCCCCAGAGTATGGAGATTGAGGTCCCCCAGCAGTGGCAGGCCAGGGACTCTAACTCCAGCCCCACCGAGATCGCTCCTTGGGGGATGCACAACAGAAGGCAACCTTTGAACCCCGCAGGTCTGAAACGGCATTTTCAAGAGATGTAACACATCTTTATGGGGTGAAGAAAGAGACACTTCCTATATTTCTTTACAGGAAATGTAGTACCAAAAGTGGTGCCTCATCTATTTAATCTGATTGGATATACTCCAGTAACCTCCTTTAATGGGTTGTCTTTAATTTGTTAGGGCCACATTGAACTAAATTAAATTTAGAACTCAAACTGAGCAAGAGAATGAGGCTTTTTTCCACAAAGAAGTAAGTTTGGTTGCATCTCCTACAGTCCTGAATGTTGACTACAAACCAGGAGCAACGTCCTCCTCGTGTGGCAGCTGATGAGTTCCAGGGGACTCTGGGAAAGCACTGAAGAAGACAGGCTCTGCTGCTTCGGACGGTTTCTCCTAGAAAAGAGAAAACCTTGGTTTACTTGGTCAACAAAGTCTTCTGGGTGATTCAGGCCTTTGAATGGATGGAGAGGACTCACACCTTAGAGCACCTGTATCATGGTGTGGCATGATTTGTGGGCTTGTATCATGGGTTTCTGCAGATGGGGTCAACATCTGCAAGATGATCATACTCATAGCCCATCAACATGGAATATTCCCCCCCTCCCCACACCCCCATGGACAGAAGAAATGTAGACAAAAGCCTTGTGCAGGAGCAACTGGGGGTCAGTAACCTTGAATATAATGTATCCGTACAATATTGCATGAATGGCAGACAATTCCAATCTCCATATTCTCTTTTTAAAGATTTGCCTCCAGGAGAAGAGGAACTTACTAGCCTCAGCAGGTGGTGGCATTTGACCAACTTGCCTGGCCTTGAAAGCTAAGTAAGTTCAGATCTGATTAGTTCTTGGATGGGAGACAGCAGAGAACACCAGGACTTTAGACTAGATTGGGAAGCTATAAATCTATCTATCTATCTATCTATCTATCTATCTATCTATCTATCTATCTATCTATCTATCTATCTATCTATCTATCTTCCCAGTCTATATAGGGAAGGGGCAATGACAAACCACTGTTGTATTCTTTTCAAGGAAGCAGCACAGAATCTCCAAGAATGACTTGAAGGACATTTTGCATTTTCATTAGGAATAGCCTTTATTCAATTTTCAGATTTAACTCCAAAGTACAAATAAAGTGGTAGAAGTGATGAAAAGCCTTTCACGCCCAGCTCACACTCCAGAAGAGGCAACCTTTCCCACAGTCCTGGAAGGGATATTTTTTTACCAGGATAGCTGCAAACCCAAACAAGATCAGAAAAACACAAGTTTGACATTAATCATGGAACTCGTTTTTATGCCAGTGATTTACAAAACAGAATCACAAAACTGTGGATTCTGTTTCTGCTTTTACAAAGTGAGTGACCCAGAATGTGCTCAGAACAAGCGTGCTCAAGGTCCTAGTGTGTGTCTCACACTTCTTTTTCTCTTTTCCAGTAACTGGGCAAGTGAAAAAGAGAAGAATTAAGAATAAAAATGTGTTCTCCACAGCGGAGCCTCCTGAACAAGTTAAAAGATCAGGCAAGTTCTTCTGGTTTCGTTTGATTTTTAGCAGGTGATAGGAGGAAGATGGCGGGAGTTCTCTGTTCTCTGCTGGCCTCCAGATCTTACATTTTTGGCTCAAAGTCTGTGCTTTTGCATCAGTACAATAGGCCTGTACAACCTATGTTTGAGCAAATCTAATATGCATATGTCTGTGCACTTAAGAGAGAGAGAGAAAGAGTACTGCAGAATGGAAAGATGTGCAGCCTGAACACAGGAAGCTCCATTTGTATCATTTCCTCCGAAATAAATTTCTCATCGTTTCACAAAGCACCGAGCAAGTTACAAGGCAAAATCATTACAAGGTCAGTTTCCTTTTTTTAGAGAAGAGAATCTCAGAGACAGATGGTGCCCTTTCAAAAAGTTAATTATTTAGCCATGAAAAGGTTGGGCAAATGGGAGGTGAGCATTTGTGCCCATCGAAAAACAACAGCAGGATCTTCTTCTGCCAACCCAACCCTCTAAGCAAACTTTTTCATCCCATTCTTAGACTTCTTTTCCCTTCTTCCTCACTCAGTATCATTGCATTTGGCAGGTGTGTGTGGTTTTAAGTTTTTCAGATAAAGACTGGCTTAACGGACTCTTTAAGAGAACAGCTGAAAAGGCAGTTAAATGTTGTAGGAAGATTTTATCCAAGACCTATTGTCAGGTCCGTACTCAGTGTTGAAGACCACAAGGTGACCTTGAATATTTCAACACAGCCTTGTTGGATGATAAAATGGAATAACCTTATGAATGCCACTTTGAGCAAATGAATGGCTGAATCAAATAAAGTAAAGAGACAGTTATTATTTGTCATTAACAAGTTGGGGGGCTTTGCTTGGCACAAAACTCTAGCAGACAGTGGGCCTAACCGTAGCTTTTTCTGCTCCTGCAGAGCGGCTGATGATCAGATCCTTGATTGGGACAAGAGTTTGCAAAACACGACACATGGAGCTGAGGTTTTATTGCCAAACTCAGAACAGAATCTTAGGGGAAAAGCAGATTTTTTTTTACTAATTGTTCAGACTGTAGTTGCTGTTTTTCATGGGAATTTATGTGGATGTAAGAATTTTCTGGGTAGCAATGACAATTAGGGTTAGGGTCAAAGACCCCAGCAAAATAGACGGAAAGTGCTTACCTTTGCAGACATCATTGAGAAATATGAACTGGTTTTTTTTCCCTGCCAAAAGAAAGTAACAAAAGTTTGAGCAATCGTGTCGACTGAACTCAAAGCATTCTCAAGTACTAAATCACTAGGTTAAAAATATATATATTTAAAAGATCAAACTAATGGCGGTTAGAAGAGCAGGTCACCGGTCAACTGGAGAAAAAAAAAAGTAACTTCCTAGTTTTCTTCAACTTCTCATATGAAGCTCGGACATTTGCAAAACCGCATCATCACCTTCTGGGCTCAACACCTTCTTAACTTAAACAGGGACAAACTGAAAATCGGTTGCTGTCGAAATCAATTGTGAGCACCCACCTCGTCCGCCTTTCAAAGCCAAACCTTTAGCGTCACTCCTGGCAGGTTCACTTTCTCACTCACGATGCTGTTTTCGGTTGTTGGGGTTTTTCTGATGGCAGAGAAAGGAAGCCCGTGTGTCTGCTTCCTGCTTTCAAAAGTGAAGGCCCAACTTTTAGGACTACGATGTACGTCAGTTGCCCCTAATTATCAGTGTAGACCTGAAAAGTTATTGTGGCTGCTGCAAGAAATTTGGGGAGTATTTTTTTTTTTAAAAAATTGCACATATTTGTATTAGAAATGTTTAGAGATCGGCCCTACCCTGTTTTTCACCAGTATCTGCAGTAGAACTCAACTGCTGGGTTGAGGGCACATCTGGTCGTGGACAGAAATGTTGTTCCCAGAAAAGTGTAGAAACAAAACACCCATTCCATTCCTTATTGTTTTTCATTATTTCCCCACCATAAACCAAATAATAAAAACTGCTGGATGTATTCCAGCTGCAACTTCTCTGTCAGAAGGTATAGGCAAGTCCATTGCCAGATAAGATGCCCTTTTTAAAAGGACAGCAACGGAGATCAGCGAGCCCCCGTTATGGGCTTGAATCCTGAAAAAGGTAACCAGGGCTGTCTGAGACTCAGAACTGAGAATGTACAAGACCCCTAAATGCTCCTAAACGGAGAGCAATCAGAAATAAAGAGGAATGTGATATAATTTAAGGTCAGCTAAGGTCAGCAACATGGTGAGAAGTGGCTGTTTTCCTTAGGTTTTGTCAGAGATGTATACAAGATATGGTCAAAACAGTCAAGGTGGGGGCCAGAACAGCACAACAGAATCTCTTCCCATGTCTACATGTGCTGTCATGTGTGCAAAAAAGAGGCTGGGCTTTGATCACATGGCCGTGGCCGCCATCTTGACTTTCTGGACCCCTCTGCAGACATTGACGGTTAAGATGATCCCATTTCCACATTCACCAATGTCTGAACATTCAGCCCGTAACATCTGAACATGCTTATGAAGCCTCCTGAAATTAACCGAGCCCACAAGTGACCCAATTTGGGGCAGCTGTTTGCCAAGGGATAGCAATTTGCAGCTCTTGTCTTCAAAGGCTGATTTTTGCAATGGGTCATGTCTATTTTGGGAGTTATTATGCTTCATTTATAGCTTGCTTCTGTCCGCCGGAAGCTTAAGCCAGTGGTGGAAGGAAGATCAGCCAGTGCGATGTCCTTGAGGGCTCCTTAATACTATATGACACTCTTTCAAAGATATTAATGTGCTTCTTTTTCACTCTGTAGGATATTACATTTATTTATCTGCTGAACTAAGGAGATATAAATATATAAAAGTGGAAGTGAGCCTGATGTAGAACTGGAAAAAAAAGAGAGAATATTGTGAAGGACTTAAAAGTCACAATATAGCTATCAAATTAAACCCCAGTATATAAACTTGCAATATTTTCCATGTTCAAATTAGATGGGATACTATTGCAATCTAGTAAGGGATTAAAACTTGATTAAATCTCCAGCCATAATTATCTGACCCACATCCCAGATAAAACAGTGTTCAAAACATTGGTGCAATGTAGCTTGGTAATCTTTAATAGCATTAATAAATGTAGCATGTTTATTAAACTACTGTATCACCAATATTAAAAAATACTTTCTGGGACACTAATTTCTTATTTCACCACACATTTATTAATCAAAACCACTACAATCTTAGCACAGTTCAAACACACACACAATGTCCAGTTCATATCCTAGACAGTTTCTGGAGGAAACTCAACTTTTGAAAAATGGAACTCCAGATTTTAATTACCCAATTTACAAAATTCCCCTCTCCTCCTAGAAAGACATCTAGAGCCTGTTACATTCCACAAAACGAATAAAAATGTGGTATTACACTCATAAAATAAAACCAACCCCCCCCCCAAGTGTATGTACGCAGATCAATATTTCCATAAGCCAAAGGGGGAAAGACTGTTCTGCGGCTGACATTGATTTTGATTTTTTTTCATAAAATGCAAAAAACAAACAAGTATCATAAAAGAAGAAATTAAAAGCAAAGGAAGGCCAAGAGGAAATCAGCTTTGTGCAAACGAAAAAACTAATAAATAAACAAATAAATAAAAATCAGAGGATGGCCAAAATCTGTTCCAAATTCTCATTGGAGATTTACTGAAAATACATGACTCGAACTACCTCGCCATCAAAGACAGCCCATTTCCTTCTAAAAGCCTGGGTGGATTTAAAGGGCTTCTATTCTTTAAATTCAGATGTTCCTCCTTCACCGCATCTGGATCAAAAAACCTACCAAAAGAGAAAGCTTAATTCATTTTTCTTTAGCTGACAGATGAGCTTCTGCTCCTGATTCATCCGGGGGGGGGGGGCAGATGTGGGGAAAATATATCATTTTTTGCTTTCCTTTGAGAGAAGCCACCTGCAGGATGTGGTCACGTCTTTCCAGAAACCCAGCAAGGGGGTTGAGCGGGGTGGAAGGGGCAGCCAGCATCATAAGCAATACCCGTGCGATGCAATAGGCGTTAGGTTAAGGGGGCATCAACACTGTCCCTTTGCCTGCTCCGAAATGCCATGTGCCATCCTGCCTGCACCACCTAAACTCCAACCTTTATTCTCCTGGGATTGCATGGTGGTGGTGCGGGGCAGTGGTGATCTGGGGTTGTACCAGTTTAGAACACCCAGCAACAACCCGTATTCATTGTGGGTAAAAAAACACCCCAACTATGGCTGCCAACTCTTCCTCATTTCTCCAGACGTTGGTATCCTTCTAACATTCGTCTAATGAAGATATTCTGCTGGACCTGCGGCAGGAACGTGCGAGTCTGCCCTTCCGGTCAGCGTCTGCATCCAAAAGGACTTGAGGCTCCTTCACACAAGGATCTGAGTTTTGGAGCGGTGAAGATTTTCGCTGTCTTCATCCATGTTTGCTGCCAGCTGGTGGCTGAACCCAGAACTCACTCAAATAAAAAGATAGCAACGACAGAGGGGCAATGCCAGGTAACCGAGATCCCCCCATCCTTCGGCCAAGAGAAGAATATGCGGGCATAAATTGCGCAGCCTCCCCCCGATTGCGATCCCCGCTCTGTGTCCATAGTGAGGCCAGTGAGTGATGCTGCCCTTATTTATTGCAAGCCAAGTCCAGTGGCTTTGCCTGGCTTTGGTTCCCATCCAAGGATCGCCTGCTGGGGGAAAAGCCACCCCCGTCTGTCGCCTGGAGTGAGGTGGGGAGAGTTTAGGGGGGTGCGCAGAATGGCCGGTTGCTCAGCTGGCAGCAGGCACTAAGGGGCAGGCGAGATTGAAGGGGGGAGAGGACTTCTTGAACGCTCCTCTGCTGTTGCCTGTCGGTTGGCTACTTCCGAAACAGCTCTAAACCCCTCATCAAAGCTGATGGGGAGGAGGAGCAGAGGGGCATGGAGTGAGGCAGAGGGGCACCCCCAACTCTTGCTGAAATTGGAACGGTAGGGCTGGCACTGAGCTATCAAGGAGCCCAGCTTTGTGCCCAGCAGCTCCTGCAGCCGACTGAGACTGGCCTGACCATCAGCGTTACCATCACCATCATCGAAGCCGGAAGGGAGAGGCAAAAATGCTACCACTGCCCCACTAAGGGCAACCTAAGCAGCCATGGCACGTTGCCCAGATAGGCGTGGGAACTGCTGCTGTGTGCGTGTTGATCGGTCAGGCCAACTGCGTGCTCGTGGGACAGTCCTCAGGAATCACACAGGTCGAATCAGTTTTTAAAAACGGCCACGTAAAACCCTCGCCAGCAGAAGCCGCAGAAGCCTGCCATCGACCGGACAGGACAACCAGCAAGACCCCAGTGGCTGAACACCGCGCTCTTTCCTGGTTGAAAGCTTTCCTGGTGCTGTGCAGCCCGTGTCTGAAAGCAGTCGCCAGGCGGCCTGACAAGCGCCATGCAAAGCGCCAGTCAGGCGGGCAGATGCTTCTGCAGAAGCCAGGGGCCTGGTCTCTCCTGCACCCCAGATGCCAACCTGGCTGCCGAGATCAGGGTTCAGTGGCCAGAGGAGAAACGGTGTGTCCACAGCAGCCCCAGTGACCAGTACCAGCCATGCGGATCCCAACCTCTGATCCTATCAGCAACCTGAGGACCAGACCCAAAATTGGGTAAGGAGACAAAGGGCCTTCTCGGGGAAGCAAATGGGGCAACTCCTGTCTCCAACTCTTAAAGCGTCAAATAGGATTAGAAAGTAAAACCAACACAGCATTCAGTGCTCATTGGAAACGGTTCCTGGACTATAATTTAAGACATGGTTTTGCATCACACCCCAAATTAGATTTTTCTACCTATAGAGTCTGTAACTCAGCTTTCTGGAAAATTAGATTTCTAGAATTGATTCATTTCATTATAGTTTACGATTTAAGTTAGTGACTTGTTCTGCATTAAGCAGGCATTTTGAGTTTAAAGCTTAGTAGAGATTTTCAGGTTCTTTCTTCAAAAAATAGGTTTTATTATTGTAATTTTATCAGTATATTGGAAAATTGTAATTTTCATATTTTAGAGCCCCTCTTTGCTTTCCCGTAGTCCACTATTTGTATTCTACCCTTTTATTCATTTTACACGCCTTTTCTTTTTGTTTATAGCTTCTTTAAAAAGTTTCATAAAAAGAGTAACACTTAAAAAAAAAACAACAATTAAGTAGAAAACTGCACTGCCCTATTGCATACAATGCTTAGAAAGGGGGCTTATTTCACCCTAATTTAGGGTTGCCCAGCAGCTTTCCAGGATCTGAATCAAGAGAATTCCCAGCACTTGTTTTAAGTCAGACTTGGCAACTTTAAGAGGTGTGGGCTTCAACTCCCAGAATTCCTCAGCCAATTCTGGGAATTGTAGTCCACACCCCTTAAAGTTGCCAAGTTTGGAAAACACTGTTCTGAGCAATTGAGCTGCACTCCAGGTTCCCATGGAACAGGGAGGGGGGAAAAGAGGTAAAAATAGGGCAGAAAATATCCCATTTGCTTTGGGTGCTGAGCGTCTCCAACTCACCCAGACAGATTGCCCTGAGAGCATAAGGATGTTTCCCACTCCTGGACTATTAGAAGGGGAGCAGTGGCGATCGAGTGGCTTGGAGGGGGGAGAGCCACGTTCAAGTCCCCCACGAGATGACCGTGGCCCAGTCACGCTCTCTCAGCCCAGCCTACCTTGCAGGACTGTTGCCGCTGACTTTCTAGTGACTTACTTCAGGAAACATCTTTATGGAAAGTACATAGTGCGTGTTTCATCCACTTCTAAGAAGAGAAAGTCTGAACTGCAGATTGCAAAGATTTACGAGTCTACCCCACTTTCTGAGGATATCAAGAGCGCACATGTGAAGGTCACAAATGATTTCTTTACAGGGCACCAAGCTCTTCCTTGATGATGAACCCCCATTTGCAAACCAGGGTTTGGAGGAACGAACAACTCTACACACCCGGAACGTTCCTCAGAAAAGATCTACTTTATTCCAAGGAGGCCACCATGCCATCAGAGATTCACAGTATGCTGAGTGAAGTCACGGGACAGGTGAGATCGAAAGAGAAGCAATGCAGTCAAGGATTTAGAAAACAGCCCCGGTCACAGCCCTCAAGAGATGAAAAGAAAGTCCAGACATCAGGGCGAAAAGGAGACAGAATCACTCCTGTGGAGTCCAGAGCTGTGGAGTTCTTCCCCAAATGGACCACCGTCACTCTCACCTAGGACACATATCTTTTAAAAAAGAGCTGCCATGTCACAACTAATGTTTCTATAAGCCTTCACCCTACAGCAGGGTTCCTCAAGCTCAGCAACTTGAAGATGGGTGGATTTCAACTC